CCCGGGCCGCGGCCTGCCTATCTCGGGCAGCTTCCTGGTGTTGACTTGCTCTCTAATTAAGGATGGTGTTTGTATTTATATCCTTAGGGTTTTTTTTTTTTTTTTTTTTGGTTTTGGGGTTTGATTTTTGGGTCTGGGCGCTGTCCCTCAGCTCTTCAGCTCAAGGCGAGCGCTCTACCACTTGAGCTACAGTGCCATTTCCGGTTTTCTGGTGGTTTATTGGAGATAGGAGTCTCACGGTCTCTCCTGCCTGGGCTGGCTTTGAACCTCGATCCTCAGATCTCAGCCTCCTGAGTAGCTAGGATTGCAGGCGTGAGCCACCAGCACCCGGCACTATACCCTTAGGTTTTTACCCAGGTCCGAGGTGGCAGCGGGGTTGGGTGTTGGGAGCGGGAGAAAGCTGTGCGGTGCCCTCCTTGCCTCTGACCGGTAGGTGCTGGGCAGGGGGGGCGAGCCCTGGCTCCAGGGAAGAGAGCCTGATGGGAAGGTGCGTCCCAGGTTTCTGGGTGGCTAGGGAGGGCGGGAGCCTGAGAACCTGGTCTTGGAGGGCGGAGAGCGTTGGGAACAGCAGTGCACAGGCCGTGGGCGGGTGGGCGGGCCACGGAGGGTCTGCAGGACCGGAGGGCAGGCCCACGTGTGCGCGTCCCTGCGACTTCGGGGGTGTGAGGAGCTGGTGTGGCATCCTTCACCCCGCCCGTGGTCAGCGTGGCCGCAGCATGCGGGGGCAGAGCTCTGGTTGCCAGGGCGGGCTGGCTCTCCTGCCGCGTCTAGTCACCTCCCTGGGGACCCAGGGTTAACGAGGCTCTGCAACTTGGGGAGAGTGGGACCTGCTTCTGTCCCCTGGGGTCCTCCGTGGACCCCCCCCAGCCGGGCCGCCTGGCTTCGCCTGAGCCTTCAAGCAGATGGTGTATTTGGCTTGCAGTCCTTCCTGTCCCTGCCACCTCTGTCGTCATTGCTACTTGGCTCTGCCTGGTGGCCATCCAGCCACGCAGTCTGCATGGGACTTGGCAGCACCCCGCGAAGCGGCGGGGCAGGCGCTACCTACCCCAGCCCTCGCCCTGGTCTTCCCCAGATGCTCCTCTGATGCTCTGCCTCAGTGTCCCCCGTCTAACCTTGTTGAGTGGGTGCTTCTTGACAGTTGGGTGGAGTGGTTGCTGGACCTCGCCAGGCTCCACGGCCCGTTGGTGGGTGAGTGGTGGACACGGGAGGGTAGGGGGGAAGGGGCAGGGGTGCCTGGGGTGACACCGTTCGGAACTGGCCAGCCCTGGCCTGCCCAGCCACTGAGGTCAGAGCGCAGTGACTTGGTCCTATGGCAGCCACGTGGCCCCTCTTGCCAGGCACGGTGGGCCCCGGGCCTGGGCTGGACGCCAGGGTGATGCCAGGGCGTGCGCGGCTCCGTGGCTAGCGGAGCCCCCAGGCACAGGGGCCCAGCGGCCGGAAGGGCCGATCAAGGGAGTGGACACCTCCCTCGCCGGGCCATGGTGTACTTAAGGGTTACCTGATCCTGTTTTAACGAGAGGCTGGAAATGAAGCCGTGAGAGGAGTTGCGTGATGAGGGGCGTGAGGGGTGGGAGGGGCATGAGGGGCGTGAGGGCGTGAAGGGCAGGGCGGCAAGCCTGGTCACGGAAAGGCAGTTAGTTTTCAAGAACTGCCGGGTTCTAGGCCGCCACCACCGCCGGCCCCTGCTGTGCGCTAACCACGTGGGGCGGCTGCCCCGGCTCCCCGCAGATCTGGTCCCTCTCGCGGCTCACGGCGCCCCGCACGCTTGCTCTGGAGCACCCGGAGCCGTGAGGCCGGCGGCGGGCACCCGGCAAGCGTGCCCTGCTGCGAGCGTCTTCAGTGCAGCTGGGAGGGCCGTGGTTGGTGGGCAGGAGCAGGGCGAATCCGATGGGCGCTGGCAGAGCCAGGGGAGGGCGCGGGCGCTCAGCCTCCAGGGCAGAGAACGGGAGGGGTGGATGGCTGTGTGTAGGCTGTGTGCCCGTGGGTGCAGGCGCGCGGGAAACAGTGGATTTTAGGTGCAGCACTGACCTGGTGAGTTACACTTTAAAATTTTTTTGTCACTTGTGGGGCTTGATCTGGACCTGGGCGCTGTTCCTCAGCTCTTCAGCTCAAGGGTGAGCGCTCTACCACTTGAGCTACAGCGCCACTTCCGGTTTTCTGGTGGTTTATTGGAGATGAGAGTCTCATGGACTTTCCTTGCCCGGGCTGGCTTTGAACCGCGATCCTCAGATCTCAGCCTCCTGAGTAGCTGGGATGACAGTCATGAGCTACTGGCGCTCAGCTCTTCTGGCCTTTTCTGCTTCTGAGGTGCTGAGGAATGGAACTCATGCATGCGAGGCAAGCACTGGACCACTGAGCCACCTTCCCAGCCCACATCTTTAAATTTTTTTTTTTTGGGTCCGTTCGTGGGGCCTGAACTCTGGGCCTGGGCTCTGTCCCTCAGCTTTTCAGCTCAAGGCTAGCGCTCTACCACTTGAGTCACAGCACCACTTCCGGCTTTTTTCTTTTTGCTTATATGGTGCTGAGGAATCGAACCCAGGGCCTCAGGCATGCAAGGCAAGCGCTCTACCACTGAACCACCTTCCCAGCCCCCATCTTTAAATTTTTAAAATTTATTTTGAAATTGTATTGGTACCCTGGTTTGAACCCAGAGCTGCCAGTCAATGGTGCTCTGCCACTTGACTCACACCTCTACCTCCTAATACTTTTTTTTTTTTTTTTTTTGCCTTTCCTGGGCTTGAACTCAGGGCCCAGACTCTGTCCCAGAGCTTCTTTCAAAGCTCAAGGTGAGCACTCTACCGCTTGAGGCACAGCACTACTTCTGGCTTTTTCTAAGTAGTTCATTGGAGCTAAGAGTCTCATAGACTTCTTGCTCAGGCTGGCTTTGAACCATGATCCTCAGATTTCAGCCTCTTGAGAGTAGCTTGGATTACAGGCGTGAGCCACTGGTGTCTGGCTTAATTTGTAGTTTTTAAAAATGGTAACGGGGGGCTGGGAAGGTGGCTCAGTGGTAGAGCGATTGTCTTGCACGCATGAGACCCTGGGTTCGATTCCTCAGCACCACATAAGCAGAAAACACCAGAAGTGGTGCTGTAGCTCAAGTGGTAGAGGCTCGCTTTGAGCTGAAGAGCTGAGGGACAGCGCCCAGGCCCAGAGCTCAGGCCCCAGCAAAATAAATAAATAAAAATGGCAACACAGATTTGTCTTTGTTGTGCTGGGATTACTAGGCAGGCGCTCTACCATTTGAGCCATGATGGGCATGTGGCGCCAGGCCTGGAAGGCCCTGCGTGCCCTCCCCGCCCCCACCTGTGTCTGAGCTCAGGGCCCTGTGGTTGGTAAGCTGGCACCTACCATTTGAAGCCTGCGCCCTGCTGCTTTTCTTCTTGTTGATCCCTGTGGAGATGAGTCTAGTGGACTTTCTACCTAGGCTGTCTTCAGACTGTGGTCTGCCAGACCAAGAATTGCAGAAGGAGCCTGGCACCTGGCTCAACCAGCTTTTTTATTGCCTGAGATGGGGCCTGGTGAACTTGTTATTTGGGCTGTCTCCAATCCTCTTACTCACAGTTTGGATTACAGGTGTGAGCTACTGTGCTTGGCCCTAAGGGATTTTTTTTTCTTTAAGACTTTGAGTTCTGGTTACTGGTTGGAGAGAGTGAACGAGAGACATCTGGCTTTGCTCTGCATCCATCGGTCATCGACTTAGAGTGGAGCCATAGTTCCCTGAGTCCATACGCTGCAAATGTTGGCAGCTGAGCGTGCTTTGGACCCGTGGACGCTGCCCACGCCCGGTGCACTGGGCAGCCCTGAGCTGCAGGTGGGAGCTGCCACGCGCCCCATGCCTGCAGGCCTTGCCACGCGCTCGCGGATATTGCTTCCCGTCCTTTTGCATGACTTCCCTGAGCTGCGAATCGCTGTCAGCCCAGTGTAAAAATGAAGGTTTTAAGCCAGGCACCGGTGGCTCCTGCCTGTCATCCTAGCTACTCAAGAGGCTGAGATCTAAGGATCGCAGTTCAAAGCCAGCCTGGGCAGGAAAGTCTATGAGACTCTTATTTCCAATAAACCACTAGAAAACCGGAAGTGGCGCTGTGGCTCAAGTGGTAGAGCGCTCACCCTGAGCTGAAGAGCGCAGGGACAGCGCCCAGGCCCAGAGTTCAAGCTCCACGACCACCCAAAAAATAAAATCAAACAAAGGTCTCACCCTGCAAGCTGCTGGCCGTCCCGTGGGCACAGGCTGGGCGGCAGCGGTGATGCCAGTGCCCCCGCAAGGCCGCCCAGGCCAGCAGGGCTGTCGGGCTCAGCAGCTCTCCAGGCTCCGCCTCCAACCCTGCCCGGCTCCAGCCACTCTGCCGCGCAGCCCGCCGGACTGTCATCTTGAGGGGATGTCTGAGCACTCTGGAGGCCTCACGGCTCTGTCTGGCCGCAGACAGCCCCTTGTTCCTGGGGACTCCTCTCCTGTGGAGATGTCTCCAGGGTGGGTCCGTGCTGGAGCGCCCCGCCCGGGGCCACCTGTGTGCAGGTTCCTGCCGCCCCGTGGTCTTGTCACCACCACGAAACTTGTCACGGGCATTCAGAGACTCCTAAGTGTGTCATTGCTGCGTGTCCTGTGTGCGGGGTGGGGTCGGCTTCACGTGGGCCTGCGCTCCTCCATGGTGGCACGGGCCCCGCTGTGACAGTGGCGGAGGTGAGCCCCTTGGAAAAACGGCGGGCTTTGCTTCCATTTCTGTTGCTATGGGTGGAGGCCCCGCCCGCGTCCTGCTGCTCAGGGTGCTCAGAATGCTGCGGTCTGGAGGAGTCCTGCAGGAAGGAGCCTCTAGACTCCAAAATAAACAGCGAAAACGCTGGGCTTGGAGGCATGGTTCAAGTGGTAGAGCACTAGCCTAGCAAACATATTGAGCTTTGCTATCAAACCCTGAGTTTGGTCCCCAGTCTTGGTGCCCCCCCCCAAAAAAAAAAAGTCAGGAAACTCAGGGATTGCTTCTCTGTTGTTTGGTTTAGGTTGCTCAGCTCGCTCGCGCAAGTTGCGTTTTTGCAAATAGCTGTGGCCATGGCCGCCTGTTAGGACCAGCGTCCTCCCCCAAGGCCAGGTGAGTGCCGGGAGGGCGGGGCCTGCGGGAGGCCGGGCCCAGCCCCTGGGTGGGCCTTCCTGAGCCCAGTTCCCGGAGCCCCCAGGCCAGCCTGGAGGCAGCACCTTCCCTGGCATGTCCTCAGGCTTGGGGCTGCCTGGTCCTTGCGGAGGGCAGGGCACCCTGGCCCCCAGCCTTTGCCCTCAAGCTCTGCTTTCCAATACTGGAGTCTTTCCTCGGTCTGTGCTAGCCCCGGGCCTTGCCCTGCTCTGCGCTGGCCGCCCTTGGCCCTGGGTGGTGGGGAGCGGGGAGCTGCCTCCTGTGTGTGACCCTGTCAGGGCCTAGCACACACCCTGTGGCTCCCGGGAACTCCGAGGCGGCCAGGCCTCTAGTCTGCAGACCCCTGCCTGCAGTCCCCCATGGCCTCGCGTGTTCCACACAGTGTGGCTTCTGGGGTACCCGCGGACAGCGGGGTGGCCTTCCCCCGGCCCCTGCTGCGCCACGTCAGCCTGTCTGCTGAGATGGGTGGATGTGAGCCTCGTGGGCAGAGTGGCCTGGTGGGCCGTGCGTGTGTGCAGAGAGAGACCTGGACCAGCGCTGAGGGAAAGAAAGCACTGAGCCCCCTTCAGTCTGGGGGTTGGGGTGGGGTTCCCAAAGATCTGGGGACGTGAGGAAGGACTGAGTCAGGGCCCTGCAGTGCCAGGCGCTGTGAGGCCGGCGTGGCCCGGCGGGTTCCTGGGGGTGGGTCTCTGTGTGTGGCAGGACTTGGAGGTGAAGGGAGGAGGGCGAGGAGGGCAGTGGCTGCCACGGCCAGGGAAGGCCTGGCGGCTCTGGCACGCTGTGTGTGTGGCCTTGAACACTCAGATGCGAGCTCTCCCTGAGCCGCGCCCACCTGCCCAACAAAATGTTGCAGAACTGCCGTGTGTGCCTATCACACGGGGCTTGAAATCAGCGATGCCGTCTCTGAGCCTGTCACAAGGGTGGCACGCTACCACCTGGACCAGGGCTCCACTTCCAGCTTTTTGCTGGGTCACTGGGGAACGTCTGCTCTGGCTGGCTACTATGTAAAATGTGCAGTTCACTGGCATTTAATACACACATGAATAACATGCAGCGATCGCCTCTTTATTATAGAACATTTCTGTCATCCACAGAAAGACACCCCACGGGTCAGCAGTCTCTCCCCCCTCCCCTCCCTCCCTCTCTCTCTCTCTCTCTCTCTCTGAGTCCTGCCACTCCTCCTCAGCTGCTTTCTGACTGTGGTGTGGCCTCTGTGGGCCATTTCATATAAGTGACCCCATTTACGTGAAGTGACTTCTTTCACTTAACCGTGGGTGAGGATTTTGTTCTTTTTTTAAATTTTATTTTTGGTGCCACTTATGGGGCTTGAACCTCAGGGCTAAATGCTGTCCCTGAGCATTTGTGCTCGTGGCTGGAGCTCTACCACTTGAGCCACAGCTCCATTTCTAGCTTTTTTTTTGCTGATAAATTGAGTTTCCTGAGCTTTCTGTCTAGACTGGCTTTAAACTACATTATTAGCCTCCTGAGTAGCTAGGGTTACAGGCATGAGCCACAGGTGCCTGGCTTTCATTCCTTTTCCTGGCTGTGTCATATTCCACAGATCAGTCATACCACGTTTCCATGGATAGACATTAGGGTTTGTTTTTGGCTTTTGTAAATATTGCAGGTGGCTCTGTCTGTGCTCAGTCTTTGAGGTACATGTCTGGGCCTGAACCACTGGCTCGGAGGATCATTTGCTTGGAAGCTTTTGAGGAGCTGCTTTTGTCCTCCTTCTTGCATCCCCCAGTGAGGGGTAGAGGCCTGATTCTCACCATGCATGGCACCCTGCTTTGTACAGCGCTGAATTGCACATCTTAGGAAGGTGTGAAGCGAGCGGCGTCTTGTGGTTTTGGTTTGGGTCTCCCCAATGACTTACTGGTGGTAAGCATCTCCTCGTCTATGTATCGTAGAGAATGTCTACTTAAGTCTTTGCCCATTTCTGAGTCAGAGGGTTTATCTTTTTGTTGCTGAGTTGTAAGAATTCTGGGCTGGAACCTAGGTGCTTCTGTGAGACTAGCACTGTCCGGGCGTCAGACCCTCAGCTGGTGCACCCCTGGTTCTGTTCCCCCGCCTCAGCCTGGCCTCTTCTCTTGTGTTCAAGGTTTTGTTCATTGTGTGTACCAGCCCTGGGGCTTGAACTCAGGGCCTGGGTGCTGTCCCTGAGCTTTTTCACTCAAGGCTAGAGCTCTGCTCCTAGCTTCTTGCTGGTTAATTGGAGATGCATCTCATGGAGTTTCCTGCCCTGGCTTGGCTTCCAGCTGTCACCCTCAGACCACAGTCTCCTAAGTAGCTAGGGTTGCAGCGTGTGAGCCCCCAGGACCTGGCGAAAGATTTTACTTCAGTGCAGTCTAGTTATCACTGTTTTTGGAGGTCTTACGCTTACATCGAGGGACCTTTTTTCTCCCCTGGATTAGGGTCTGTCTTTCCCTTTTGATTTGGTTTTTATATCTGGCATGTGGCAGGGTTTGCTTTGATTTGGGTTTGTTTCTTCATGGTGAGATCTAACCTTGCAGGGCTGGGGCTTACCCAGTTTTGGTTTATCTTGGCATGAAGACAATCCTGAGTTCTCTCCAAGGAGGAGAGTGGGGGACAGCTGTGCATACTGGGTACAAACATGTGCATCCTCCGCTCTGGGCCAGGCATGGGGCCTGCTGGGTCCCCGGTGACAATCAACAAAAGAGATGTCCCGTGTTCTCCTAGGGGAAGGGGCACATTATTAGGGATTAGATGGAGCCGATATGGGGGGGGGTGTCAGGTGTAAAGGCCCTGAGGTTGGAGGAAGCTTTTTATGCTGAAGTGCAGTGGCTGGGACCGGCTGAGCTCTGTGACCAGGGCAGGATGACAGTTCTGTTTTATTCATAAGCAGTATGTTTTTACTAAAGGAATTCAGTCCACCTTCCCTGTGTGGACACCTCCTCTGTGACTGCTCAGCTCAGCTGCTTCCCGGAGGTGGCTGCCAGCCCAGGTGTCCACAGAGCCCCGCCCCGCAGGAGGGCTGACCCTGTTGGCAGGAGCTTGGGCCCGTGGGGAAGCCCTGGTCAGTTCCCTGGATGGCACAGGTGCCTGCGGGGAGGGGCCTGACCCAGCGCCTGGGCCCCTGCATTGTCCTTGCTTTTCTCTCCAGGAACAGGACCGGTTTCTGGCCCTTTGGGGATGTGGTGGCCTTGGAGGAGGGGCAGTGGGGCTTCAGGGATCCTGGGCCTGCAGGGGTTGAGGCCTCTTCCCTGCTGTGAGGCTTGCAGCCGGCATGGAAATGGCAGGCCTAAGAGCCAGTCATGGGGAGCAGAGCCCCTCCTCCGGGCTGGGAGCTCAGCTAGCCTGCCCTGACTGGGATGCCCCAGATCCAGGTCTCCCATCTCTGGAGCCCTGCAACCTGGCAGGGTTAGTGTGCAGTGATCCCGGGCTGGGCAGGGCAGGGGCACCGGGCCTGGCAGCCTGTTTGCCCACGCAGGGCTGCTTTGAGTGCAGCCGCCAGTGGATGGAGCTGGGCTGGAGCACCTAGTGCCTCTCGGAACCAGGCTAGGGCCTCCAGATGCCCAAGCATCTGGAGTGGGGCCTGGCAGGCTGGGGCTGCACACCGACCGAGCAGGGAGCTGGGTGTCCCGGGGTCCCTTTCCACTTTGCGGCCGGGTTTTGGGGGTGCGGTGGGGGTGGTGAGGTCTTCCCAGGCCTGGTCCTGCGCGTCTCTGCAGCTGTGTGCACAGGACACGCGTTGCCTCCTTGGGGTGGTGACCCCGCTGTTTCCCAGAGGTGATCCGTGCTGAGCACTGCTTGTGTCCACACACACACCATCTGCACACGGATGCGCACTTTGCTAGGCGGGGCAACGCAGCCTGCCCTCCACTGCACATACCTCCACGAGTGACTTGTGTTGTGTGATTTTTTTTTTTTAATCTTTTGGGTAAGAGGCTCACTCAGGGACGCTCAGGCTGGCTGTGGCCTCCTGACCAGCCTTCCTGCTGGGATTACAGGCGTGCCGGCCACACCCAGCCTCAGGGTCTCCTGCCTGCCCTGTCCTTCAGCTGAGACTGCACCCACGCACCACCCATCTCCTTTCATTCTTTGTTTTTTTGGTCAGCTGTGGGGCTTGAACTCAAAGCCTGGGTGCTGTCCCCGAGCCTCTTTGTGCTCAAGGCCAGTGCTATACCACTTGAGCCATGGCACCACTTCTGGTTATTTTTTTTGAGTGGTTCATTGGAGATAAGAGTCTCACAGGGACTTTCCTGCCTGGGCTGGCTTTGAACTGTGATCCTCAGATCTCAGCCTCCTGAATGCCTAGGATTCCAGGTATGAGCCACTGGCGACCGGCTGCTTCGTTCTTAGGCTGCCTCTGGTATTTCTGAAGCTAATTAGCAGCACACCCCGGGCTTTGCCGGGCTCCCCGTCGGTGGAGGCACGCCTGGTGGCGTGCCTGTCGCTCAGCCGCCAGCACAGGGATGTCCTGGCTTGTCACTGGACGCCATGATGTTCTGGGCGTGAGAGCCGAGCCTGCCTCCCATGCACCATGCTGGGGGGTCTCCTGACGTCCTTCCCCTGTCCCTCCCCCCCTCCTCTCCCTACCCTGTCCCCCTCCCGTGCCCGGCCAGTTTCTGAGCTTGCATGTCTGTGTCACTGGGGGAACCTGGCACATCTCACATCTTTTTTCCCCCAATCAGTCCCGGGGCTTGAGCTCTTTTGCTGAGGCCAGTGCTCTACCACTTTGAGCCACAGCACCACTTCCAGTTTTCTTTCTGGTGATTAATTGAAGAGTCTCACAGACTTTCCTGTCCAGACTGGCTTTGTTTTTTGGTCATTCATGGGGCTTGAACTCTGGGCCTGGGCGCTGTCCCTCAGCTCTTCAGCTCAAGGCGAGCGCTCTACCACTTGAGCCACAGCACCACTTCCGGTTTTTTGGTGGTTTACTGGAGGTGAGTCTCACGGCCTTTCCTGCCCAGGCTGGCTTTGAACCGCGATCCTCAGAT